ATTGGTTTCTATTAATTGTTGCAATAATTTGTTTTCCATGTTTACAACTCGTTTGATTTTTGCTTCACTTCAGGGACGTTCAGGACTGTTCATTTCATTTATCTCGCATATCTCGGAACAACGATTGCAGAAAGCATGATTCTTCGAGAACACACCAAAGTAAAAGAGGGCGGAAAATATTTGCTCGAAGGGTATTGATTTTCTCGAAGAGTGATGCGATCTGAATGTACATGCGTTAAGCATAAAAGTTCAGAAAAATTCAGAAACAGCAATTGGCTCCGGCTATGGAGCGTATTTTCTAGCTTCTCGAGGAACCGACAATATCCGAACGCTTGAACGTAGATATACCTCAATAATACGAACGTTCCACTTCCAGAAATGTATACATGCATACTAAACATGCATACGTTTACACACGTGTTTGCGTACATACACGTACTAGCATATTCCTTATTTGTAGAAAATTCTGGCGCAACGAGAATTTGCATCGGCAAATGAAACTGTCATTATCGAAATCGGCAACAAAATTAGATCAGTGAGAGACAATGATAATATTTCGAATTTTGGTAATTTAAACAGAAAATATTTATAAATAAGATTGCAATAATCGGGCATAAGCAAGTAAGGGATATTCTAATACACATATCTATATCTACATCATACATACATACATACATACACAAACATACATACATACGTACGTACATACGTGATACATATATATTAGGATATAAGGATTCAAAGATCCAATGATCTAAAGATTGAATGCTTATATCCTTGGATTCTTCGCCCTAAGTTCTTCGATTCCCCAGACCGTTCAGCTTTTACGTTAAGAATATTTTTATTATCAATCTTCTTCGTTCCGTGAGTGCTCACCTCTTTGAAAATTCTCAGTTTTCCCACGATCGTACTTAACAATTCTCAAATCGCTGAACATTTTAATCCGTGTAGTCTTTAGAGCCTTTTAAGTAATCCTTTTATCCTGAAACACACGGAAGATATTCCTAGCGCGTTGTTATATTTGACAATTTTTAAATTCATACAATAAGACATTCGGCGATTGAAGATCCAAGGATCCAAGCATCCGTTTACGTTACCGTATACTCACACGTCGCATAGAGCAGGGCATAAATGTAATCTAAGCTTCGTTATTTTTATGATCTCAATTATCGTAGTCGAGAACGAAGTTTTTATCACGACCCTTTAACCGGTGAACCGGTCGCGGTTCTTTTGCGCCAAAAACAGATTCCTGCAATGAAATTGCTGATAAATTTCACGATATATCATAGGATAAATTGTATTGTATCTCGAGAGTGATACTCGCAACGGATCGCTGAAGTTAACGCAATATTAAATTAAGGACTTTTTAAGGACAGAGCGCGCGCGCGCGGGAGAAAAATTTGTCCTCTACCTATAGTTTTCGGCGCATAATATACGGTAGAACATACTAAAGAAAATAAAAAAGAAAGAGAATAATGTGATGAATAAGAGCGAGCTTGGGATTACTGGTTAAAGGGTGATTTGACCGAAAGCAACAAGCTGCTATTCCGTTTCCGGAGAATCGTTTGGTTAGCCAGACGCATTTAACAGGTAGTCAACGATGTTCTTTTCTAATTTATGGGATGATTTTCATTCGTACCCGTTTCGAAGAAGGAAATGCGTATCAGAAGCGTGCATGTGTGTATGTATGCGTGAGAGAAAGATAGAGCGCTCGAGAGAAAGGGTAGACCAAAGATGCAATCTCGAGAAAGAGAGAGAAACCGGTGTAAATATGTAAAATAAAGTGTTCCTGACGTAAACGCACAGAAGATCGTCAGAAGGCATAGTTCCAACAAGCGGCAATTTCGCACGAGAGTTCTCTGTCGGCCGTCCCGTTCCTCTTATCCTTCCTCATCATCGCATCGTATAGATTCTCGGGATACTATGGGATAAATTGGAAGAAAAAGTCTTTTTAATAAAGCCGTGTTCGGATATCTACTATCTACAATATATATAAAGCCTACGGCACATGATGCATTTTTTCCTGCTAGATTGCTTGCAATTTCTAGTAATTTACTAAAATCCAATAGGGAAAAATGCATCGTGTATCATATAAACTCAATATGAGATATGTATCTATAAAGGTTTACGAGGTTGGAAAAGTTACTTTATAAATTATTTTTTAATTTACCGTGTTTATTTATTGCAGAAATTAAGTACAAAAACATTGGACTTTATCAGTACTAGCAGTAGTATCTGGAATCTGGATCCCTTCCAACAAGAGACACACATGACAGGTGTGACACAATGCATCATTATATCCTTGTTTGCCAATGTTAAACAAAAATGAGATGACCATTGTGTTGTATTGAGTCGCTTGTTGAAAGATGCTTTATAATATCAGAACATGGCTTAAATAAATAATTTATAATAATATGGAATAAATTGGGAGAAAAATCACATTTATGTCCATTTCTGCCAATGTAGATTAACTTTAATCTGGATTAATTTATTCTTTATCCTGTTCTAATATTCGTAAAATTAGAAAAAAAGTTAAGTCAAGATGACAGTTAACATATTGGTAAAAACGGATATTAATAGTGAAACGACAACAACCGTCATGTACTTAACACTAAATACATATTAACAGTAAATTAGGCACAAGATCCCGTTTGATGATGATATTGACATTTAAATGTCAATATTCAAGAATTATTTTAATTTGATGTCTGGACGCTGGTAAGTGTTTTACAGTTATTTATACAAAACTGTAAATTAAATTTTATCTCAGTTTAATGTTTTATTTTTTCTATTTTTACCTAATTTCGAGAATTAGAATAAAATAATTAAGTCTTTTTTTTCTGCTTCTTGAAATTAGAAAAAGATAAAAAACCAGTTAAACTGAGATAAAATTATATTACTTTACATTAGTAGAATATATGTAGATATTAACCTTGGGACAACTTTCGAAACTCGGTTTAACGTAATCAGCGATTATATATACATATAATTCAACTGGCAGAATCGTTTATTACAAGAATTCTACCTGCATATTCATTGTTTCAAATCCAATCTTCCTTTCCGTGTACAAACGACAAAAGGTTAACTATTGTATTCACATTAGCAAGATTACAAGTATCGCTTGACCTGCTAATCGCTGCAAGTTGATCGGGACTCGGGAGTTTAGTCGAGGTTATGATCCCTTACCAATTTACTTTAATCAACATCCCTCGCGTAACTACAGTCAATCAATTAGGAGTGAGTTTCTTAATGCTATTGATTGATAAAATTACTTTCCAAAGTCCTCTTTGTTACCTTCGTGAAATAGTTGAACGATCCCGAGATTCGCGCAGATTCCTTCTTGCTCACGAAATAACGGTCGCGATCGTGATTGGTCAGCACTGTCAGCAGATTGGCGGTTCTCGAGAAATGCACGATAACGGATTTTCAATTTTCATACCGCGCGCGGTGCTTGTCGGTACTCCGTCAGTAACGACCGGTAATGAGGGAAGCGTGGTAAGCGGTATGTATGTACTTGCATGAGATAGAACAGGTAAGTAGAATCTACCCGCGGAAAGGTAAGATCGATACTTGGATCGAAGTCAAAGACGCGACATCGCGAAACCGTTCAAAATTTTCGGCAATAAAGGTGACTTCACTTTTAATTCACTCTAATTAACGGCGATTAATTCAACTGGCAAAATCCATTTAAGTGGATCGAATCTTGGATTTCTATAATTCGTCATTCTTAACCCGCTCAATTTTTTTACATATACATATATATTATTTCAAGAACGAAAGATTCATATATATAATCCTAGCCATCGTTAAGATAAGGCATCTCTCGTTAATCACCGATTAAATTTGATTGAATCATCGCTAAAAATCGCCGAGATAATCCGGAAGGCTTCGATCTTTAATTGGAAATTCCAATTAATCTATACATCTCTGCGGTACTTAATTTATACCAACGTGAATAGGATATATTTATCTTTTCGTTATTTGACGCAAAAAGAAAGATTAATTCAGGAATAATGAATTACAATTTCTGATTTATTGTGAATAATTAATTCTACCAATGTAGATTAACTGTAAAATTTTGGTTTAACTTATATTTTTTATTTTATTTTAGGTCTAATTAAGAACCAGAAAAAAATCAAGAATAAGTTCAAAAAGAGATTAATTGATAAAATCCGAGATTAATAAAAAAGTAAGTTAAACCGAGATTAAAGTTAATCTACATTAATAAAAGTGAATATACAATATAATAGAAATTGCGATTCGTCGTTCCTGAATTAATCTTTTTTTCATAGATTAATCTACATTGGCAAAAAAAAAATAGACAATAAAAATTTTGCTACGAGCAACTTAATCGATTGTATCAATTTGAATTTGATCGAAGTCGTCCTCTATCGCACAATAGTAATCAATATAACTAATTGGAAATCACTCCGTGAAGGAGCTTCGGGGAAAAAATCATAAAGTTTTCCGAAAAACGAACGATTTTAATCGTGAGCACAGGGGTATATATGTTTTACAATAAAATTAAGACTATCGCGTATTCGACGGATAAAATTAACAATCTCTCTCACGCGCCTCGTGGAAAATTCTCCAGATAAATATAAACACACGGCGCGGCGTCCGATTACAAGATAAAACTTGGAAAATGTAAAACAGATGGAGCGATAGCTGAGGAATTCAAATTGTTTATCGAGACGTTCGAGAAGGGGGAGGGGAGGGAGGCAGCTCGGTGAGCCCATCATCGCGTTCGATCACGTTTTCCAACGAACGAATGTGAAAGGAAGACGGGTGCCGTGTTAGTTTTTCGAGGTATGAGGTCCCCGCGATGAATCCTTGATTCCTTGCGCAGTATCTGGCAGTATCGGGCAAGCGCTAACCGGGTCGACCGCATCGCACATCGCACGGCGCCGACAGCGGACGGTTGCGGCGGCGCTCACTCGCTACGCTCGCCTGCCGCGTAATCGGCGGGAGGAGGCGCCGAGCCCGAGCGCTCGAGGTGGCGCGTGTCCGGGTAGCGCAGTCTACCGTTGACCGTTAACCCTTTCGGACGCGGAGGGGTGGATACCTGCGTGGTACGTGCGGCAGTGCTTCGCGATATTCCTCCCGTTATTCGATCACATTTCGATCGTGTTGCTCTCACTTGCTCACTCTCTGCTCTTCTTCTCAGCCAAGGAGAAAAGTCTGTCGAGGGACATTAGTGCGTATCTATCCATCTCTCCGGGAGTCTCGGAGGTTTATCTTCCGTTTCTCCACGATGAACGGAAACGCGAGGAACGAGCGGCCAACCGCGGACGACATCGATGCCGCCTCCCTCAGCGCCGATATTCTCAACCCCTTCGTGCACCGACTCGAGCTCGGCTCGACTTACGAGAAGCTCAAGGTCAGTATCTCTCGAAAAACGGCTTCTTTCCCCGGGATCGATGCTCGTGCAGTCGCGTTTTAGGGGATGCCGCCACCACCGCCGCCGACGCCGCCACCACCGCCGGCGAGAAATGGGTGTGCTTCGATCGCGGTGCCGAGAAAGTGCGCGTGAGTGTTGAAATTGCTTCGCAGGTTACATGGAATTCGCAGGCTCTCGTTCGTACGGGATTGACGGAGCTGATATGAGAGGCGACGGTAATGAACGTTTACAAAATAAGTCTGACATTATGCGAGTCGCATGGTGCAACTTATGAAATAATAATTCTTTGAAAAAAAGTCATTGAGAAACCTGTATTTTTCTCTAGTTATTTAAATTTATCAGTGTAGTCTAATTTTAATCTCTGTTCAACTAATTCTCATATTTTTCTCCAACTCTGAGAATCAGAAAAAGATGAAGAGTAAGTTGAATCGAGATTAAACATTGGTAGAAATCGGCAATAATAGCACATTTTAGGGGCTTTCCAATTAGTGAGACAAATCAACACAAACATCATTCTGTCTTAACATTCAAAAAGGAACAAAGATAGAAAAATGTATATCGACTTGTGTCACCGAATAGAAAGCACTTTATTGGTGTAGTATTGGTCTAGTTATCTCTAAAGCTGAACCAGGGTATTACTAATAAATTGCTACTAGGGCGAGTTGTAATAATAAGTGTAACGGCACGCATAATCTGAACGTAATAAATACAACAATACATAATAATTATCATCGTTATATAAGATCACTTTACGATTTCAGACTGTGGCGAAATAAAAATGCAGGAGTAATATAACGCGAAAGAAAACATTCGCGGCCGAAGAGAGATATTGCGAGACACACACACACAGGCCGGTTTTTCCTCAAGTTGGTCGCGGCGCGACTTTCACGGCGCAGCGGGAATCGGCCAGGTCGTGCCAATTTTGCGTCTATCACATTCGACGTTCTGTCGTTTTTCCAAACAAAGGGATTTACAGCCATTTTCTGTCATGGTCCATCAGGCGTATACGCTTCGCATGTATTATTTCCGCCCCACTTTCCTCGGCACGTTGTCGCGCCGTTGGGTTTCCAACGAAACGCAATATGAATGTTAGTCACGTGCGTTAACCATGAACAAGGTCATCACGAGCGATCGGCACGTTCACTCGATTTAGATGCTTCGATGCCTAATAATGTAAGAAGGCTTGGCATAATATACTATGATATTTTTGTTTGATTGTCGAACGTGCATCATGATTCCTCAAGACCTTCCTGTTTACTCTGGCACATTGAAACGTGTCAATTTGGACATTTACAAAACACTTGTTTTACATATACATATTTCGATCTGTTTACAAATGTCTTTAATTCAAAGGACCAAAGATTTAAACTTGCATTTATCAGCTGGATTATTTACAATTAAGAAACAGGAAACGATTCTCGTACTCGTTAAACTCGTTTCTTCGTGCTCCAGTTTAGGCTTTGTTGCGAAAAACGAGGTCGCGGAGGTTTTTTATCTACATATTTTGCCAACCATTAAAATTGCAGCTACGCTTTTCTAGCCGTTAACACGATACGAATAGCGGCTCCTTCGTGAACCGATGCTTTCTCTTGTTAAAACACCAGTGAGGTCTTGAACGCGTAGAAAGCCCCGCATTCTATAGATGTGATGAAGTGAATGAAGAACGGCAACATCGTTCTAACGGGATTCAAACTGGAATATCATTTTGAGAAATCGAGAAAATCGATAAAAATGTATTGCATTCTTTTATCATATCACCTTCGCTCTCTTTTTACTCTCTCTTTTTACTCTAGATACATTTCACATAAACAAGCAAATGTTTCGAATAATTACAGGTTGTACACATTAATGTTGCGTGATAATGGTCGCCAAGATAATCACATCCAGAAAATGCAGCTCGAAAGTGCTTTGCTCTGATTAGATTAGACTTTTAAATCTTCAGGATTAAAAAATAAAATTTTTTATTCTTCTAAATTTTTAAATAGTACCAATAAACGTTGTTTATTGAGCTGCTTTTTCTGAACGCAACCAGTGTTACACGTTAATGTGCAATTATCTAACGCGTCTATGAGATAGCGCAATGGCCCTTAGAATTTACAGTTATATCCGTGACAACTTTCTACGCAAAAATTAGCACACGATGCATAGAAGGCTTCTTCGTTACTATTTATATGGCGTTATTAGTCAGAATAACTCGAATCGAATGTCCTTATTCTTCATTAAAAATTTTGCTTCTTATTTTGATATCTATATACGAATTCAGTTTTTTTTTCTCTAATCACTGACCCAATTTTTTCTTTGTTTATAAGAGAATTATGTTATAGCAATCGCATTTGATCAGAATCAAGAATAATATTTATTTCACAACATATAAATTTGATAGACACATTAGTAGAGGCCACTCGACTTACTTTTGTATATCACACATACGGCACATCAGTCTAGAGTTCTCTTCAACAAGATAAAGTGAGATGGGACGAAATATAGCTAAAGGCTGATGTTCGCCTAACGGAACAGCGAAACGTAACGAACGGTACTTAACTCGCATCCTATCTTTTTTTGCTCTTTATTCGTTCTTTCTCTTTCTTTTCACGAGATGGTATACCGAAGCCTTCTGGTGGACACATCGCAACCTTGACCGCGTGAGACAGACGATAAGTTAGTCTGAGAGCCAATTACCTGTATGACCCATTTTTTTAACCTATGATAACTACAAGGACATTTAGTTGCTTTAATGAATTTTTAATATGTAGTGTCTGAAATGAACTTCCTTAACGTATATTTTAAATGTTAATACTTACATTTAGAATACGTGAAATATATTTAATTATTAAAATTTAAAATATGTTTAGTATGTTGAACATTTATCAACATAACCAGAGCAAAGATCTCCGCATTTATGAATAAAATATCAAACTTTTTAATTTCACGTTTGTGTGATAAATAATCAGAATATATAATGTTAAATTCAAAGTTGGCTTGTAATATTTTCTCTTAAAGAATTATTAAAAAATGACTTTATAAACAAATTGAATTTGTTTTAATTTAATAATCTTAATTGAAATATATTAAACTTTTTTTAGGATTCTCTCAGAATACATTTTTAATAAATTTGATGTTTGTAATGAACATATAGATTTGCAGATATATGAACTTTTGTAATATTTGAAGCAAGTAATTAATGTTTAAATACATTACATATTTTTTGGGTGTAAATATAGGAATTTAATCGATTTTCAAGAAAATTGACACGGTAATATTTTGATGTTTCAGACGATATTCTTAACGATCGCCCTTTTGCCGGTCAGGCTAGCTGCAATCACGACTTTAATGATCCTAGCATGGCTATTGGCCTGCCTTGGACTGCATGGATTGTCCGAGGAGGATCTTCGGCGAGCTCCTCTCAAAGGATGGAGACGGTATGTTTGAAGGAAACTAAGCGGTAGGATAATTGCGGCGAGAAAGAACGATTCTCTTCCGTACTCTTTCATTCCTAATTTCGAGTCCTATCTCTATATCATATACTATTCATGTTAACACTAGCTATACCTCTCGGGGTTGCTTTTTTAATCTCTGTGCTGGTATCTCGCTTTATTAACAGATTAAATCGACCTCATTTAGATTTTCGAATGTATTAATCGTTCTCAAAGATCCTCAAATCTAGAACTAGACTTGCCGTATTTCTAAAATTATTACGTTTAAAAAATATTTATATATTTATATATTATATATTATTATATTTGTTTATATGTTATAATATTTATATATTATTTAATATTTAATATTTATATAATATTTATATATTATTTATTAATACTTACAATTATACAAGTACTGTGAATTAAAGTATTTATACAAACAACGGTAATTATACTACAGTGAACCCGGTAAATCTGAATTAAACGCATGATTTAGAGGTCGTATCTCAAGGCAATGCAATCGGTGGGTTTCGGCTGTCCATGATAAAGAGAGAGAAAGGGAGCGAATACGTATTAAAAATGCATATCCTTCCGTATGAGACAAGGTTTCCGCCTTATGATATCCTTGTCTGCAATTTTATTATTAAAACTTCTTGTTATTGAAACGTTTCTCCGTTCTCTTGTAATTAACCAGAGACTTGAATACCTTACGGATAATTCACCGTGCATTTCCTGAATTTATAACTCGAGTATCGATTAATTTCAAGTATCTTAAATTAATAATTGTCGAAGTGTCAGTATTATGTAATAAAAGTTATTCTCTATATCGATTAAATATCTACGAACAAAGTGATTATTTGATAATGAAGTTGCTTGTATTTATATTTTTTTTTCATAATTTAGTCATGCGTTACTGTCAAGGTCTTGCGACAAGAAAGGTCTATAAGACGACCTTGTACTATAATGAAAGCTTGACGGAATCAGAGAGCAGGAAGAAATATTTCTAGAACAGTTTTAACTGAAATTGCATACAGTGGTTTTACAAGTTGTTAAATTATTCATGAGGCGGATTTGTTTGAGTTTGTTATGTGATTAGTCACTATTATAGTGTGACTGTCGAACCAGCTTTCATTTTAATTGAAACATAAATAAATTATGCTGCATTATTAATTAATTTGCATATAGAGTAAACGTATTTTAGAGGCGTTTTCTGAGATCTAAGTATAATATATATTTTTAAATATTTTTTGAGAGAATTTCTGAAACGTGTCTAGATTTAAGGATCTCCATATGAGCTGAAAATGCAAATCGATTTATTGAAATCGAGTCTCTGACAGACTTCTAACTAAAACTAATTTTCAAGAAACACTTATTTCCCGCTAATCATTTTAGTCCCCCTTACAAGAGTAGAAATAAAGAATCGCATCGGACGATGGTGCATGCGCATTGCAAATTAAACCACTTAAAAACAGAGACATGCGCGTCGTGATCTGCTGGATGATGCGGGCGTTATTTCTCTGCGGTGGATTTCATCACCTGAAGGTCAAGGGGCGGAAGGCGGAGACTAAGGATGCACCGGTGCTGGCTCTCGCCCCGCATTCCAGCTTCTTCGATGCGCTTCCGGTCGTGTACCTTGGCGGGCCGAGCATCGTTGCCAAAGGGGAAAGTAGTCGTCTCCCTTTCTTTGGAAGTAGGTCGCATTGTCGTCTATTGGTGAATTAAACTGATTGATAAGAGAGAAGTCATGCTATGTTTTTTTTTTAAATATGAAGGCCGAAATTTTAAATTGAAGTAAATTATAGTTTATCATATCATTGTGAAACTGCGAGAGAAAACTGCTGATTTTAAGGTCGAAGTGCAGTATGACCTCTAAATGAAAATTTTTAACTAGATTCGCAACTTCTCTTCTTGTGAGAACGAAAGATCTCCGCTTGATACTATAAAACCGCAATATTCTAATTATTTATTTTATTACATAACATTCATATGTACATATATGGTGGATGGGATTTATTTTTCAGCTACTAATTATGTATGGTTTTAACAATTATCGCTAACACGGCTTTTATACAGGGTGTTTTATTTTATTTGCCACATAACTTAAAAATTGCGATTAAACTTAAAAAAGCACTTAAAAATTTTACTAAATTAATCGAATAACACCATTATATCTGTTAACTCTGATGCATTACTGAGCATGGCTCTATTTATAAATTTACATTGTGCATAATGTTATTTAAAAGCTGTAGGTCAAACTACATAACTAGTAGAAACTAACAATAACATCGGTACGCATATTATATTAGTGAGACAAAAAGGGAGGAATGTTCGTGTATATATATAAAATTTAAATTCTGGAGAATCGCACTAACGATTATCGAAACTTGGATTACTAATCGAACGCTTTCACCGTCTTTTTGTCCCTTTTCTTTCCGTCGCTCGATGGCGTAGAAAGTTCATCGGACATACTCGCTCGTAAACGTTTCCTTCTTTCGTAGCACGATTTGAGTTATACTCTTGGCTCTTGCGATATCCCATGTTCTTTTCGTGGTGATACTGTCAAGTCGTGAATACGTTTTTGTCGGTATTACGATATTTAAATACTTGGAGATCCAATATTGGAGTGATTCCATGTATCTTGTCGGTTGAAACCCGCAGAAAATTAGTGCCATGGATATGTTTCGTGGGCCGACTCACTTACCAGGCCGGCGGAATGAAAATCGTAGTCCGAGGGAAACAGGCTTCCAGAACGGAAGCTCCGATTCTGGTCCTCGCGCCGCACTCGACCTTTATCGACGGCGGCATCGTTTACGTCACCGGATTTCCCTCAATCATCGTCAGGCGAGAATCGGGATTAAATCCGTTTATAGGAAGTAGGTGATACATTCTTGTTTCTTTTAATTTTTTCTCTATACCTTCTACGAATTTCTAATGTTAATATAATACTTTATTATTTTATTTGAAATATATTCAAGAAATTACTTCTTATGACATTGAATACTTGTACGTGATTAGACTTGAGCCAAGTAAAATGATGATGTCAAGGTCAAGGTATACTGAAGTTATTGGAGGTCATCGAGATGTGTGTCATACGTGAGATCTTTTAAAATAAAAATTTAAGTCACAAACATCATTGGCATTGTTTACAAACACAGGACTGTGTTCAGAAACTGTTTCACCCGTACTTAGGTATCATTTTATCCTTATTTAACATTCGGTGATCAACAAGAATAAAATGATATACCCCGCGATTTATTGAACACACTCCGGAAGTGACCATAACAATGGTCTCAAAATTGCTCAAAAAGATAATTATGTTATGTCTAATGTAATACGTACGGTATATAGTGTATTATTATTGTTTTACTGTCAGATAGCAATGTTAATTAAACATGCTCAATAATTGTCATTATTTTATGAAGGTCGAATATTAACGATCTTTTACCAAAAAAATTAATTATTGATATCCTATTTGAAGTAATAGAATTATGTTTTATATTTTATATTGATTACTGAATCCCATTCACCATTGTATGAGGAATGATTTTGAAGTAGATAATATACTTGTAAGAATTCAGTTACCTAACACTCTGATTGTAGTTCAATGAAACAATGATCCCTTTGCATATGCAAACTTGCAAAATAATCGGTCTGTCTTTTGCAAGAATGTTGTAATGAGTTTCCGGTTTTAGATAATTGTTGACTGATGGATTTTGAACAATTGATCATGACAGAAGTCGTTCACAAGACTTTTATAAACGTGTTACTTGCTTCAAAATAAGTTCTTGTGCAACGAGTCAAAGATTGGCTCATCAATCCAAATAAAGTCAAGCGAGATCCAAGTTATAATTATCAGTTAGTATTTGTAAAATCGATTATACTTTTCATTATTTTTTAATGTATATAGAACTTATCAACTATACACAGCCAGTCTACGTGTGGAGGGAAGATCCAAATTCTCGGCAGAATACTATCAAGGAGATCATTGAGAGAACTACTTCCAAGGAGGATTGGCCACAAGTAAGCAGAATATATTAAACTATTAGTAGAGTTTATAGCATATATACAGAACGTGTATGAAATGAGAGAGAAAGAGAGAGAGAGAGAGAAACTTCATAAATATATACGTAAAATATTTATAAATAGAATTAACGCACACACCACGGCATGTTCTAATCTGGCTTGATATTTACTGATGTATATTATGATTTCTTAAGATCTCTTGATTTAGCGTATATATTACGGCAGTTGATTTAAAGATATTCCGAATATTTTCTTTGATTTAATACAATTCAAAAAATAAATTTTAAATAGGATCTGTGCGCTCGTGTGACATTTTGTTTCACTTTAGATTCATCTCCCATTGATATACAATTAAGAGTCATTCGTATACGGAACTTGTACAGTTCAAAGAACTGAGTTCATAAAATTCGTGGAAGGTAGTAGCCTTTTATGATGTTTTCGATAATTCATGGATGCGAGATGCACGCAAGCTTGCAATCAAGACGTAAATCGCTACCTTCGCGTCTGCTGGTGCAATTGACTATTCTCCACAGGTTATGATATTTCCTGAAGGGACTTGTACAAACCGGTCATGCTTGATTACGTTCAAATCGGGCGCCTTTTATCCCGGTGTACCGGTGCAACCAGTGTGCATCAGATATCCTAACAAATTGGACACGGTAACGTGGACGTGGGAAGGTCCTGGCGCGTAAGTATGGAGAGTCGTCTTCCTCTTTTTTTTTTATTATTTATTTGTTGTAATATGCTTTATCTGTTGCTTTACATCCGTTGCAGATTGAAATTATTATGGTTGACGTTAACACAGTTAAATAGTAGCTGCGAGATCGAGTTTCTTCCTGTATATAATCCAAGCGAAGCAGAGAAACTAGATCCTAAACTGTATGCAAACAATGTACGACGTCTTATGGCAGAGTGAGTTTTTCATGTACAACGGATTAGGATGCCTAAAAATATATATAGATCTCTGGAAAGATTATAATTATTATTTTACAGGGCATTAAAAATTCCCGTTTCGGATTACACGTACGATGATTGCCGGATTATTAGAAAGGCTCATCAGCTACATCTTCCGCATGCGTCAAATATCGTAAAGAGCCATAAACTTCGGTATAAATTAGGGTAGGTGTCGCATCATAGTATAAACATTACAAGTAATTGATTACAATTTACATAATTTTGATTAATTTATAGTTTAGTGGCATCAAAAACTGAAGAAGAACTCGTCCAGAAGAAGACGTATAATTTTGGTGACGTAAATTTACAAGAATTTGCGCAGATCCTTAGATTGGATGACAAGGATCCAACCACTCAACAACTGTTTCGCATTCACGATAAGGTGCTTATATAATATAAAATTTAAATAATGTATGTAATATATGTATATGAATTAATTTAACAAAAAAAATTTTAAATTAGAATTTAAATGCTCATATGTATTATAAAATTATGACAAAATCAAGGCTTTATTCGAGCTTAAAAATATTTAATTTAACTTAAAATAGTTTACATAAGTATCATAATGCTAAATAAGAATCTCAACGAAAATCTACCAAAAAATATATATTCTTCACAAACGTTTCGGCTTATAAAGCCTTCCTCAGTGTAAATTGCAATAATAAAATGTGTAATTAACAAACTTTTAACAAAGTGGTTGAACTTCAGTGGTCAGATGTCAATATATAATGGACAGATTGTCAAATGTTAATTTAAAAAAAAATAAACAACACAGCCAGAGATAAGAAGATTAACTTCAGTCACCGATAGTCCGCAATATGTTCCAAAAAAGAATTTATATGTATATCATTTTATAGTTCGGGAAAGGAAAGATCGATCTTGAAGAGTATATCTTCACCGTGTTGGCGACGGCAAACGCGTCTTCGGAACGAGACAAAGTCGAGATTGCATTTGACGTAAGTGCAGACTGTTTAAGAAGTTTACTATGTACCTGTATATGGTATACGTAAACTTTTATTTTTACACGATCGAATTGTGTTATAGATATGCGGCTCGAAAACAGCAACGTGTTTGACCCAATCGGAACTCAAGAAAGCCTTGAGGTTATCGATACGTATGCAGTCCGAGGAATCCGACAGGATCTTTCAACACGCCAGAATTAACGAGGATGCTTGCACAGTGAGCTTTGGTAAACACTTTTGATCACGAGATTTATTTCCTCCCTACGATTAAGACCTACTTCTGTTTTTTCATCGCAGTCATATCGAATATCAAAAGAAAGAATTATACATGTATTTATTAATATGTTAGAACAAAAAAATGTTTTAGTACGAGCGTTTTTTTGTAAATTTCTTGGGAACGCGTTATCAATTTATTGGGTGCGATCCATTTCACGCTGCAAATGCTTTGAAGCATTCTTTGATTGGTCAATTCGTAAAATTCTTTCTTCTTGTTATCAACTCATTGCGCGTTATCAACTAACATTCTATGATCTTGTTTTATGAATTTGACTAGTGGCATAAATGAAAAAAAAATTATTTATTTCCAATGTGCAGTGTAAGAAAAAAGGGTCTTATAGGGCCTGTCCTTTTTAACTGAATTTCTTGCATTATTCATTTATTTTCTTTTTCTTTTTAACGCGAAAGAAAAAAAAAGAAAGAGATAAATGGTACAAAAAAGTTCAACTAAAAAGAACACAGTTATAAACCGATATAATTACTGTGAGAAAACGGTCGTCTTAATATACTGTGAGTTACAAATCTTTTCTTTAAGTCTATTTATTTTTTGCAGACGATGTTCTGACACAACTGTCGAATCGAACGGAATATGCACATTTATTCGCCGCAAATAACGAAAACTCGAAGAAGACCATTTGAAAGTGTCTTTTAGAGCCTGATAGTTCTTCTAGAGAACATCGAGGCAAACCTTTCCTTAGTCCCATCTGCTCCACTTCTGTATGAGAAACGTATCCAAGGTGCTTCAAGGATTATAAAGCAAAACTATTTTGTCATCTACGGAAGCTGCAGTTGAATGTAAGCGGCAATTTAGACAGCTAGCCCGTGTTTTTCCTATAATCTCATAAATTAGAAAAAGTCGAGAATTTAGCGACTTAGAATTTTAGGAAACTAAAATTCTAAGATTTGAGGATTCTAAATGATCTTAGATTTGATAATCCGTGAGTAATTTAGTTACGAAGGTCCTAGAATCTCCGCGGATATGAAAATCCAAAGATACGCGACTTATCCTAGATTCCGAGAATTTAAAGACTCGAGGATTCCACGATCTAGAGGTCGAAGACTCTATATAGATACCGAGACTTGAAGATTGAAAGATCCTGTGATCGAAAGTTTGGAAAATGGAAAGCCTAAGGATCTGAAGAAACAATAACCGTCTTAGTAATTGTACATTCGAAGATAAATTAAAATATAGAGGTTCGCGAGGATCCTGAAAGGCTTATTTCCAATTAAAGATCTACGAGTGTCAAATTACGGAAAAGGAAACCGATGCTTGCACTTTTTGATGTACAGTACACATTATATAGCATACAGTTAAGTAATCCGGTCATTAAGCTTCTTACTAGCTCAAATGAAGTATCCATGACGTAGGGCTTGGACGCGCATTTAGAGAAAAATGAGGACAGGTTTTTAACGACATAATTTATTTTGCGACCTGATGGTCCGACACCGCGATATTCGGTGCACATGTACAGACATGCGATTATGCACAGGATATATACATATGCGCTAAATTGTGTACATACTTGTTGCACACTATGAACCGGCATGTATGTAAACACATATACACACACATGTGTGTAAGAGTAAACGAAAAGATTGGGCGAATCGATCGTGTATACCCTCTATGTATGCGCGCGCAAGTTCATGTGTGTACGTGTGTACGTATGTATGTATATAGAAAGAAAATACGTGTATGTGTGCATAGTCAAAGCGATTAGCTACTTTGTAATATCTGTATATGAACGAAATGGCCAAAGTTTAACAGCGCGCATTAGCGGTCATTTTGAGTTAAAAACGGATATGTTAAGTTATAGAACATTTTACTACGACACATGTTGAAATAACAGTATTTATTGAACTGAAATTTTTGCTTTCAGTGCGTTGAATTATTATACTTATCTTTTAGCCAAAGAAACCACTTAGATTTCGTTAAATGGTTGGATATTATATAAATGTGATTAACAATAATGTATTCAAAGTAATGTTAAGTTTATTAATAATATCTTTGTAACTATTAAAAAAGTCTGTTAGGGACATTGTGACATGCCTATTAGATTGACAATAGGTAATACAAGTTTTTAGCACAAACTAAAAACTACGTAGACGAAACTCAATAACTTATTCAGCGACGTAAAGAATAAATGCAACGGTGGCGGGTAAAGGATCTGCAAATCTAATATAAAGATGTAAAATTCTTAAACGTACGAATAAGTGATTTAGAGATATAAATTGTTTAGGTTCAAAGTTTCTATGATACTTGGCAAACATGTAAAAGATTCGTTTTCGTTGTCCCATTTCCATCCATCCGACAATTTAGGTAAATAAAAAATGCAAGCAGTATTTATATATTGACGCTTTATTAACACGTAGCTTGACTCAAGATATACTTAAAGAATATTACAATCGCGTGATTTCGGAGTTATTGATAGCCCGTAATTTTCCATCGGAATGACTAGACCGTCGATGTCTGACTTGCGCATGGGTCGGCGGAACATATCCTGCCTCGTCAGCGCGTTTATGTTTATCTAACTGAATGAATCGCGAACCAGGTCCACCGCCACCGCCATCCAAGCACTCGCAGCTCAGACTCGCCTGATCGAGATCGCTCTGATACGGTCCCGGCGGAATCAGCAAGCTCTCCGTCGACTTGGTCGGTTGGAAATGTCGGCTGACCGTCGAACTAGTAGTTGTGGAGTATGCAGTGCTGCCGCTGGCACCGCTGCTCTTTCGTTGCACGGTACCAATCGGCGTCTTTGATCTGCCGATACCGCTGCTGTGCGACCCCTTACCAGGACGCTCCGCGCTATGAGTCTTGATGGTTACAGTATCCAGATAACCGTAACCAAAGCCGTAACCTCCGAAGGCTTTGGTGGTCAGATTATCCCAAGATTTAGGCTTAGCGTACTGAAGGCACGGCGGTGGTCGCTGGTGCACACTCGGATCCCAGTACAGAGTGTCAGTACTGAGGCTAGTGGAGCAGGAGGCGACGCTATCAGCTGTTGAGACGTCGCTACTGGTAATTGAATGAAGACTATGGCCTGATGTGCGAGAGCAACTATGAGTATTAGGCTGTGATTGTTGCTGCGACTGTTGGTCTCGTTGTCCTTGAACGTGGTGATGCTGCATATTGGCTTGCTGTTGTTGTTGCTGTTGCTGTTGCTGCTGCTGATGGAGAGCCTGCTCATTGCGGGCACGTCGTTGTTTCTCGCGACGTCGACGACTAGGAACGCAATTTGGATCGCAACAGGGACTTGCAAGATCATAAGCATCTAGACTGACACTGTCAGATTGCTCTCGGCGACGATTTGCGCTGGAGATGCAAGCGACGCAGAGATTATTCTGGGGAGTCGAATGTAGTGATTGTCCTTCACCAGCAGCGGATGACTGCTGTTGTTGCTGCTGACAGGACTGCTTGTGAGATTTGCTCTTTGCAGGTGTACCCATCATACCATTTGACTGGTGGTAACTGTGACGCAAGGAAGTCACCGCAGATTCGCTCGACATCTTCGAGAGGAAGTGATGATGATCGCTACGAGAACGAGGCGGTCCGACTGTTACGAGGCAAGCGGCGCTGCGTGGTATAAGACATGATCGCCCATCCGCAAACTGAAAAAAGTTAGATTATTTAAATCGCGATAACGAAGAAATTATAAAATCTTATCGTTGTTTGATTTGAAATTACGAAAATTATTATAGAATGTTTAGAAACTTTATATGTACAGGGTGGGGAAAAAGTATGGAAGCAAACAATTATTTCCGAAACTATTCATTTTTCGACAAAATGTCTTAGACATAATTTTTATGGTATGAAAAGATAAGATGTTCGGTGGAGGTCGCTGGCCGGCAGCATTGAATCGTGGAAGAGTTGAAGCTAGAAGAGGGCGATGGTTGATTGGGATTAGTGCCGACGCTGTTAGGCGTTCTTTTGCGCGCTGGCAGTGAATGGGTTTTCCATCGTCCCATTAGAATAGACCGTTCTCTTTCGCATAGTCTCTCCAATTCGCTCAGACGAGATTGAAGAGCGCGTTGTAACTCGATATAACGCATATGTAATTCCACCTGGAATCGTCGGTACACTTAATTCATCAAAATTCAGTTTAACAATGTTGTCAGACTAGAAAGGATCGTGTTAAAATTGCAAGATTGTGAAAACTGTCAACGACAATCGGACTTTCGCTTACCTTTCTAACGCAATCTTCGAAGGATACGACCATTCGCATTCTGGTATCACAGTTCTTGATAAAGTTCACTAGCGTCTTGTGATCGGCTCTGTCCATCTCGTGACCATTTATAGACAGTATTACGTCACCTTCCCGCATACCAGCTTTGAATGCAGGTCCATCATATTCCACGTAATCTACGTAAGTTACCATTTCTATTTCCTGTTCTCTCTTGTAATGTATTCCGTAGCTCTGTGAAATCGATCAAGATCTAATTATTATATATATATATATACATGTTAAGACACTCGGCCAAGGCATTTGTAAATAAAATACAATTAAAATACGTAAAATATTGGTAAATAAAATGTAATTTGTTCTCTTTGAGTTTTTCAGATTACGTCGATATTTTAATAGAATAGAATGCGAGCAGTCGTAGACTCCATTAGTAAGATCGAGGTCGAGATATCATATTTATTATTCAATAAAGTAACAAATTAGTATCACCTGTAATGTGAAACCGTACGTGCCGTTCTTCTTCTCGACAATGATCGTCCGGCGACGTCTGTCTTCGTCAGCACGTGCAACTCTATCAGATTTGGTTCTCTCGAGAACAGCCTGAGAAGAAAAGAAATGCTTATCTGTAAGATTATAATGCATTCAACTCTATTTTATACATCTTTATAACAGATTGGCTAAATGAAAAGAATTATAGTAAGTGTCGTCATATATTTGATGATTGAAACGAAAATGCTGCGATCTCTAAAAATGATAATGGAAGGGTCAATTTAAAAATTAAATGAACAGATTAGGTCGATGATATTGGTACAATTAACAATTCCTCCATTTTCTTTTCGGTGTAATTGGATAACCGCGAGGTGCGGGGGAAAGCAGACAAAAGCAGGGTAATTACACATTCGACGACGCCGCTCCATTCCTCCTCGTCGCTGTTATCGACACCGGCTGTCCGCCGTTGTCCGGTGCCGGTGGTGTTCGTGTTCTGCGGCGAGCTGTTCATGATCGCGCGAAGATGTCCGTGAGCATCTGGGTTGTCGCCGGGGTGCCATCAATACCTCGATCAGGCGCCTCCACCGAGATCGGCGAGGGGTTAACACGCGTCCCGACGCCGCACGACGCTGCGACGGCACATCTTTGTCGTGGAGCCGTTTAGCCCGACTGTCTTACACGTTGTTCATCGCGCAGACGCGACAATATCGGCCTAGCACCCCGCAGGGTGGTAAGGGGTTGGCGGGGATGCGAGCGGTGGTGTCGTCGACCGGGCCTCCCTTCCTTCTGTAGTCGCATCCCTTTGGTTCCATCACGGCGCCCTCCGCGACATTAGACAGGAATAAACGGAGATTTAAATACGCAGGGGCGAGCGTACTCAATGCTAGATGAGGATCGAAATGATGCGATGGTTATCGATTAGCTGAAAACTTTTGCTGTCTTGATTTCTGAATTTTTTATCCATTGGTTTTTAAAAACGTTAATTCTGCGCTGTTCTCTACTCATGTTGAATATTTGATATTTGACCGGACGCAATTACAAGTCCGTTCATCTTTAATGATGCAGCCACATTTTCTAACAGTTTCCTTGCTCTTGACGATATCTCGTATACCGCGACAACATGAAGGACATTTATCTTTCTTGATATTCTCCAGTCGTTCTTTTCGCCGACATTCATCGGCACTAACGTAATAGCGAATCCTTGCAGCTTCTCCGCTACCGTCGCGAGACTTGGGAGAACACACGCAATGTATCTGTTGTCTATCGGAAGCGGAAACGACTCTCTTGCATTGATAGACAGGACTATCGTCCATGCCCTTGAAAAGATAGGGTTCCTTGTTGCGAGGAAGCTGAAATTGTGTAACGATCTTCTTGCCGAAACATGAAGCGCGGATGAAAACTGTAACTTCGCCTACATGTTGTCCTGTCGCTGTGGTAATTTTAAAAGCGTTCTTCATCGTTCTGCACGGATTACTGTGTTGAGAAATATACGTGGTCAACAGAGAGTTTATAAGGCCATGAAGTTGAATCTGGTGAGTGCCTGTGTGAGTGCCAAAGAATATATATGTCTTTATTTGGATGAAATTTCAATTCCTTGATTCGAATGTGTGGATATTGAAGAAAAGTAATAAAGCGGAGCAAGTAAAAATTCACAGACCAATTAGCATCACGTCCGGCAAAACTCCTGGCGGTAGTTCTTTGTAAACGGACATTGTTATGGGAAAGTTGCACAATGGTTTCTGTAGGACATTGTCTGAAAGAGCAAATAAGCAGGATTTGCCCCTTTTAAAGACTTGCGGTCCATTGTGCGTACAGGCACAAGCTTCTATTGGCGTTTCTTGATAAATATTGATAGGGGGCAAGTTCAATATCTATAATTATTTTTACAATATTAGCGAATTAATAAACGAATTAATAAATATAAAATTTTTACTTGAAATGAGATGCATGTTTTTGTCGGCAATATTTCGTCGTAGATTGCCCGTATTGTAGGAATATTCACTGTATCGACTAATAATTCTATCAAAATCAATAGTTCCCCTTCCATTAGTTTCTGTTTCTGTCATATATTTCTATGTAAGAGATTGCGATTAATATAACAAATTATTTATATTACTTTTTAAATTTTTATTTTATGTTTACTTGTCTCTTTAATAAAAATTCAATAACTTTATTAATTGTAGAACATATTTTAGCAATTTTTATTTAATTATTGTTTATGTTTACTCTTTAATTAATTTTAATTGTCATTGAGATTATTGAGAATACAAAAAATTTAGGTTGACAATTATACAAGTTACTGAAGTAAATTACTAGTTCGAAGTTTTAAAGCTAAGTTCTCGATATTAGCAGAACATAATGCGCAAAAATAAAACAATTTATTTGAGTTTGATTTCTCTCATTTTTATTTTATTTATATCTATAATGATAATATTTTGTTTTTTTTTTGCAACACTTATTTAGTAAAAGAAAAAATTTAAATAATAAATAATAAAATAAATAAGTAAATAATAAAATTTATATAAAAGTTTAAATAATAAAAGAAAAAATTTAAATATAAATACATGTTTATTACACAACAGTTGTATTAACAAACAAATGTATTAAAATCGAAAATTGACAATAAGAAAAGATATCGCCGCAAAATTAATTCCTTAGATTTGTGCTTAGAATATTATGCTGAGAACTTGACTCTTGAATTTAAATAAAGAAGCATTTCACTTTTTCTTCTTAATCTTCTTCTTATGCTCCTTCGGCAGTTCTTCGTCATGCTCGTCTGTCTGCACATCTCTGGTCTCGTATCTAATCGGGGGCCTTCTTTCAGGTCCTTTCGGGGTCTTCATCTCTAGCTGTATGTCAGATTTCTCGCCAACCCCAACGAGGCCCTTCTTACCGATTCTCAAGACAAAAATATCATGGTCAGGATCAGATGGCTCGCCTGGTTTCGTTGCAGCAGACTCTGCGGCAACTGTTACTGTAGGTTTCTTTCTGTCAGGATTGTCACCATTGTCGAAGAGACCGGATACTTTAAGAACTACCGGCTTGCCGCAAGGCTGAGATGGATCGCGATTATATTGAACAGAGCCTTTTGATGACTGAAAAATCAAAATTGAGTTTAGATGTCTCTCTAATCGAGAAATTATTTCTTAATTTTCTAATAAGTACATACTATATCCTTTAATTTCCTTTCAACTATCTCATCGATTCTTTTTTTTCTCATTTTCTCATCCCTCTTTTCAACAGCTGCTAATTTCCCACACGGTATACAAGGATACTTCACTGGTATGCACACAGGACAAGTTATCGGTCTTTGAAGATCCTCGCAGGAACCTTCGAAGACATCAAGAATACGTGAGTCCACTTCGCGACATTTGTACAATAAAATCTGATCGGCTTCTCCAGCGCCGAAAATAAATGTTGAAGGATCCTGTGCAATTGGTGTGTCAAATTCTGTGACAATCATCTGTCCGAGACCAGAGATTCTTACAAAGATATCCAGATTGGCCGACAAGTTGCCATTATAAATCAATGGCACTTGACCATCAAACTCTTTGGATGTTGTAACACTATTTTTCCAGTCCTGTATCATCTCTATTCGCAAAGCCGCATACTGATCGGACAAGTCCAGTTCGCCAGTTCCTACTAAGACATCCGGCTTGATGGCATCTGGCATCTGCTTCTTCACCGTGAGTTTAAGGATCATTTTTGTAACGCGGTTCATAGCCGCCTCAGAATCGATAGCGAACAGTACTGATTTTCCAACATTGAAGACTTCAGCTTCATTAATGATGCCTACCTGTGGTTGGAAAAGGGGATCTACTGGAGTGATTACTAAATCATTTTCATTTACGAAGTCGAGGAATCCAAAATGGACACTGGTAGGTACGAAAAACATCTGATTCAACTTGGTTAGGCGGTCGCCTGACGCCTGTTTAACGTATAATTCCAACAAAAGTAGGTAGTGCTCCTTGCATACATTCGGGGGGGCTTGCTCGTACACGAGCGTTTTGTTCTTTCCAGTTAACATTGTCGATTAAATATTTTTCAATGATATTACATAAGTAAGTTGCTCTTATTGAACGATTTTTGATTGGTTAATTTTAACTTGATTGCATAATAAATTTTTCCATTAATTGAGCTATCTTCGAAATTGAATACTGTAATGTTAATACGTAGAAATTTCACTGGAGATAAATTTTAAATAGTGAGAAAATTTTGAAGCATGGTCGAGAGATTATTGGCAATGTTGACAGCTACGCTTGTCACTGACGTGTCAATGACTTGACACTGTTTCGTCTATCAAAGTTCAAACTTCAAATAAATCTTATAAATCAAATAATTGACAGAGGAACGAATAAAAAAATAAATCTATTTATGATACAATGTTGATTTAATTAATAATTTATTACTGTTTACTGCACAAATAGCAATTCGTGGCTTTAGAAGAATGACGTAACTTCAATGGAATTTAAAGTAAATATTAGGGTTACGTTTTGTATATTTTTGGAGCTCTCTCGAGCTACGTTTATATGCTTACGTTTTGAAAGATTTTAACTACTACTTTTAATTCAGTATAGTTTCTATTTATTCTTGAAAAATCTTTATGTGGATACTTAATTAATTTCTTCAAATTTTAAATAGGGTCTCTCAAAGATATCTTATATTTTTAAAGTATTATACATATTTGATTATGTTAATTTTCAATTACAGTTAATAAAATCGTTGTTGACGAAAATGTAGATCAGAATACGAGCAATAGAGTTATAATTTTTACACGGCTTTACTGACACAGCAGCAAAACTGTTGCATGCGCTCTTATCATGTTACTAGTATGATATTCCGGATATTTAATTTCAGACGTGGTTGGCGTTCTCATGCGAAACCTCTAATTTGTGAATCATTTTGACCGTCTTTATCATTTATACACAAGTTAATGCCTGTCTTTTTCGTGACCTTGCCTACGATGTCCATCCGACCAATTATTCGTACGATCAATGTTCGATTGGACGAAATTGCGGTCCCGCCATCGCCCTACTAAGTGAAGACGAATTAACATTCTAGACGGCTATGAAGTTGAACTGAAGTACATAATTGGCCTATTCTGTGACCTTAAATAATCGAAATTAGAACATTTGGTCATGAGTTTCTGACAAAGTTAGTTCAATTCAAAAAGCATTTCATTATGTGAAAGGTTCCGAAATAATTTTCTATTGAATACTTATGCATTTAAGAATGTTTTTTTTTTGCTATCTAGGTAATACTATAACTATGCGAGTTTCTTCAAGGAGAATTATATCTAATCAGCACTACGCGCTCGTTCTGAACGGCCTGTATATGGACGTTGATTATACAATATTTATATTGACGGTAATAGCAAGAATCGAGTATCCCACGCGCTCGTGTTGCACGCGCGATAATGAACGCGCGCGGCACACGTCGTTGACGTCGTAACGGATAGCAGTGCGTCACAACGGCGAGCGTGACATAAAGACTCGCCGAATTTCATCACGCGCCGGGTGCATTCAAATCGAGAAGTCAGCGGGCCATGTGCAGGCCAGACTTATTGTTAGACGTCTTCATGCGCCCGCCATTTCTGGCGCGTCACACGATACGGATTTAGGTGAGGGACGATGTGGAAGCTACAAGTTCACTTTTTTTTATTTTCTTTTTTTCAAGTTGTCTTGTTCAGTTCCATGTGCAACGAAACGATATTCTGTAAAGAATGTACTAAATTTTAATAAGTCATTTGTTTGAATAGTACTTAATATATAATAACTAATAATATCTAAATATTTACAAATATAAAGATATATTTATATTTAGATATAAAAACCATTAATTTGACTTAACTTAATTTGACTATCGTCTTTTTATTGAGTAAATATATAGTTGCTGTGTAAGTTTAGTTTACTGTAAACGTTTAGTTGATACTATTCAAATAAATATTTATTAAAAAATTTAGTACATTTTTCTTCTCAGTGCAGCTTCGCTCCTTTTGACGGTAAGGCGGAGCAGAAGATGCGATATTTCCCGAAAGGTCCTACAAATAAAATATAGCGCGATATTGCAGTACTCGAGGTACGCGGGGTATTGAGGATCATAATTTTGCAGGTAACAGTGGTTTTGCGTGAACCTCGGATTTGCGCCGCTCGCGAAGTTCCAAAGGCCATTCGGCGGGAATCGATAACGGTGGCCGAACGACGACCTCTGCCATAAAGCCTCGGAAGATGGCGGCGGCGGCAGCGGCGGCGGCGGTGTCGGCGGCGGCGAAGACACGGTGGTGAAGGAGGCGGTGTGGCGGTGGAAAGTAGCCAAGTAATGAAGTCGCGGCGGCAGTCGGCCGCGGTCTTTTGAACGATTCGTGGAACTGTATAAGTACCGTATGAGAACAGCGCGCTCCGAAACTTGCGCCCATCAGACGATCCTGCACTCAGGAATGAGGTAACCGCCGGCGAGACGGGCTTGATTCTTAGGCATTCGCAACACGTAGAAACTATCACCGGCGAACTACTTGGCAGGTGAGCGCCACGTTCCTTCGATCGATTCTTCGATTTCTGCCTGTACATTGTAGCAACGCCACGAGAACTTTGTCTGTATCCTGAGTCTTTCCCGCGTCGATATTTTCGGATCGTCATTCATGCGCGTGAGATCTTGACTGTGACGGCTGTGATAAATTCGTGGAATAGTAGGATTTCGGGACAAAAAGATGTAAAGCAAGTCACATAAAAAAAGATATAATAGTTGCGCAAAGCAAACGTAATTAAGGGACCTACATATGTGTGTGTATATATATATATATATATATTTCTTATTTTATATCATTTCATTCTGTTCTATTTCTATTTCCTTATGGATGAGAAATGTGTGTGTGTGTGTGTATACACCCACACAAAATTAAGAAAAGTAAAAATGTAGTTACGAAAATGAATGATTATAAAAATTAAGTTAAATATTTTGTTAAAATAAAAATTGTTTTCCGTTTCTCATATTTGTTCAAATCTGCAAGTTCGTGCAATATGTTGTACGATATATAGTATTATATATTATTGCTATTGCACAGTATATAGTGTTATATATCATTATTACTATAATGCTGTAATCATTGTTAACATTATCGCTGTTATACGATATCGCAATTAAATAGAAGATCATCAATTTGCCTATATCTCGAGTATTTCCCGTTGTCACTAAAATGAGTCACACGTACGAGTATAATATTTCCTTGAATGTAGCAGCTGCTCGTGAAAGAAACCACATGGAGTACTTCTATGGTCATGTTGGCAACTTCTATGGCTACGGCGTCTTTATCATTATACCAGTACATTTGCATGATGTAACCGCGTACCGATGTTTCGGACGCAGCCGCTCGCGCGTATTTCTTCCGCGATATAGTCATAGAAAAAGCGTTATCGCTGCGCAAATTTATCGAAACGCAATAAGCTCACACAGGTGTGAGACTATAGACGTATCGGATATACAGACGGGAAGGGAAGATAAGTCGGCTTTTAAGGCAGGTAGCAGCTTTCGGAACCGGGTAATAAACCAGTTTAGTGCAGATTCTACGATTAAAGTTCGTAATATATCACGCTTCTACGAAAGATGTTTATCAAATTCTCTCATAATTGCTAAAAATATAAATCTTTCCGAATTGGGTATACTTCTCGAATACTGATGCCAATATTTTGCAATTATAATACGTTAACACATTCTTTAACGCGTGAAATATCACGCTAATGCGATGCGGACCATTCGCAATGACTGATTCAAAGATACAGAAAATTGCTGATTCGTAACAACTGAAACGGCAATTTTAAAATTGATATTACGCTTTTGTAGGAAAATACACTTGGACATTCATTCTTTTCCAAGAAGTTGAATCCTATAGCGAAAAGTTTTTACGTGTATGGTTTGTCTTATAAATGCCAAGTCGGCATTCATCGAATATATTTAGCGACTTCCCGTACAGGTATCTTTAGCATCCCCCTAAGTATTTCATGTCATCTAAATCTTGCTTATCCTGAAATTTCTCGCGATTTTCTTAAACGTTTTATTGTGTTTGAACTTTTATAATTTTAATGAAAATAATTGGGAATTTTTGCAAAACCATTTATCCAGATACGATGAACGCTAAAGTCAGGTTATCTTTGTCTTAACAACTAATTAAAAAAAGGACAACGTGACTTTAGCGTTTACCATATCTGAATCACGTTATTGCAAAAACTCCCTAATGACTGGCTATATATAATCGAAGTTTTAACGAATTCGGTTGGACGCTCTAGTGCGCACCAGTGCGTATTAAAGCCGCGTGCAAATATTTCAAATTATAAAATATAGATTTTACTTTAACAGCACACACACACACAATAAAATGTATTGAGGATTTCATAATTTAATCCGTTTTTGTATCTATATTAAACACACATTTTTATATCAATCTGTGTACGCGCAATTTTTTAATGTACACCGGTGCACACTTGTGAGTGCATCCAATCGAATTCGCTATTTGATAAACATTTGGTCTCATCTGTTATAAGAAAATACTGGGATTAGTTATTAATTGTAAATTCTCTCTCTTTCTCTCTCTCTCTGTCATTTGAGGACGAATAATACATAGTTTATGCAGTTTCAATACTGACCTGTGTTGTAATTCACCAAAGTAACTACAGCGTCCGCCTTGTTTTCCACACTTTGTTCGACGGTTTATGAACCGTTTATCTTTGACCCGAGTATAATAAAATCAAAAGTTTTCAGTTATGGCGAACGCAACCCTTCAAGTGGTAACTTCTGATAAGATAGTCACCATATCAACTTGCGTTTCTTCAATAACGTTATTTGCAATTTGATGCGGTACTGTTGGATTATCAATCAGTTCCTTAACGTGTGATGCCATATGCTTACTTTTTACCGCCTTCAAGTAGAAATTTATTTTCAAGGAAAATTTATGTTATAGAAATGCCGTTTTATCTGTTTTTATTTTTAATTGTTTAAAATGCAATTATTTTATTCGTTATATAAGTTTATTTAAAAACGTAAATGTTTAATATCGTACACGTATTCGATGTTTTATTTTAAGATAACCAACGTTGCGTAACGTATTCACGTGTTAAGCACACGAGACTTCAAGTTTTCTTTTTGCGATTTTGCGTAAATGATTATCATATTTCTCGCGTGACCGGTGAACATGCTTGGGACAAGATGCAAAAGATGCTTTTGTAATTTCGAGAAGTCCTCCCTCTTCTTTGCGCACCTAAAATTAATCTTTTCAAAACTTGGCGACGAGATGATTA